TCTTTGGGTCAGTATTTGGATACAATTATTGCTCTCCGCCCTACAAATGCCTGGACACTTGGAAGCAGTTCAAGTGCGAGTAAGAAGCATCTTTGTCTCAGTATTTGGATACAACTATTGTCTAAATTATAACTTTTGGTGGAAATAACTTTCACCTATGGCACAATATAATGATACGAACTAGCCTTTAAAAGATGAAACACATTATTAATGTGACTTCTCATTGCATTCATAACTTCACTGCTATGTGCGCTGTGCAATGAATAATTTTGGTATCTGGATTGAAGTGGACTACTCTGTGATTCTGAGCAAAAGTTTATGAATCAGTCCCAGCCTCATCTCTGATTGTATACATAAATTCCTTACGCTAGGTTGAAGAAGGATTAAAATAAAAGGAAACTATTCGGCTCCGGAGCTTTGTTTAGCTAAAACAAATCCTTGACACGCAGCCCGACACAACGCTGTGTCCTAACACACAAACCACTGTTGTGCCATAACAGAACAAACACAAAAATCTCAGAGCACGCAGGGTCGAGTCCCGTAAAAACAAACACCCACCCACCTGTCGTTCTATACAAAATACCGCTGGAGTTTACCACACAAAACTTCAGAGCAGCATGCCTTCCGTTATCAATTATTCGTAAAAACCTCTGAAATATAGCTTGCATGCGCCAATAGGGCTGGAAGAAATGCCACTCTCTTCGGTTTGTGGTCTAAAAAGCGTTTTTTCGCCCTCTGGTCCGCAGCTGCGGCGAGGGCTTCCAGCTTAGTCCCGACGGCTCCTCCTGTCTGGATGTGGACGAGTGTCGCTACGAGCCTTGCCTCAACTTCGCCTCGTGCTCAAACTCGGTGCCAGGTAATGAAACTTTATCCGAAAGATTTTTTCAACTGATCAGGTTAAGATTGAATACTTAATTATCTTGTTTCAATTGTTGATTCCCTGCATTGGTGCTTCAACAATGAAAATGTATTATTATATGTCTTTCCCGAGCTATCTCGAATAAAAAATTTTGTAAGAATGCCAAGTTGCTAAAGGATCGATATATATCAGTTCCACTATGAAATTGAATATTACTTTAAAACACCCCCAATTTACATGATGAAATGGAACTTATTGAGTTTAAATATATGATTCTTGACGTATAATAATTTTTTGCATAGGCATGGGATATCCTGAACCATCACAGTAGATTGAAAGTCAAACACACTTGTATTTCTTCATTATAAATCAATCTTTGGTGTCCATTAAACTTTACCATTACCATTAAACCATCCATTACCTCATTACCATTAATGAGGTAATTACGTCCATTACCTCATTAAACATTAATGAGGTAATCAACCGTATCTGTCATTATATGAGGGACGGTTAGAACATTAACTCTAATCACCTAACTATTCATAAGCAATGAATGGATTCACGGTAAATTTCAGAAAATGGCAAGGTCATCATGAGAAAATTATTATAAATTTCTATTTACCATGATAAAATCACGTAATTTAGCGGGAAATCGTACTATGTTCTGTAATCATGCATTATTATCGTCATTTATTAGTCACATGTTGACGTTGTCTTTACAAACACAATCTCTGGGAACAAAATCGTTCAGTAGCACCAACCATGAAGACGACAAAAATCGATCTTGTTAGGAATAAGCACCCCGGTATATCCTTGTCAATAAAACGCACCCCCAGTATAAACCTTGGGAGAATAACTTTGTAAATCCTCTCTATCCCTTTTTAAGTTACTTTCCTCAAGAATTCATGTGGCAAGATCGCTTCTCAAAAAATGCTTTTGAAGCTTCATGAGATCATATTGCGGCTCAGAACTTTGACTAAGATAAACGTTTAGCTTTTCATTTGGTATTTAATGTTTTGCTATGTATTTTTCTACATTGAATTATAATTTTTAAAAATGTTTAAATAGACCTAATTTGTTTGTATTTTTCAGTCAATTAACCTTATTAAGAATACGCAATCGAGTAACGACTGGGGTGCTTATTTTAACATAATCCCAAAAATAATTTTCAAAAATTTGTTATAATTTATGTTTTGCTAGGTGAAATGTAATGGTTTAGTGGTTAACGATAGGGAAAAATTCCTAAAGACCGATCGTGTGGCTTCGTTAGAATGCCAGAAAAAAAACGTTTTTAAACGGTTTCATCAATATAAGTGCAACTCAACAAATGGTCTGTGAATACCATTTCAAGGAAAACATTGTGAGTTTTGCATGTCAGTATTAAAATTTAGGAGCAACCACTTCCTAAGATAAGTCATAATTTTCCCGGCGTGCTGATGAAAATACCGTAAGCGGAGGCAATCCCTCCAGGCGCGGCATCCAAACTGCATGTAGCCGCCAAACTAGACTATCTTATGACAGGTTGAAGGGATATGAGCTTTCATCTGTTAAATTGCGCGGGTATATCTTACCATCAGAACTAAAATGGAAACATTAATTAATTCTATAGTACATCTTTCCAAACGACACTCCGTCTTGCAAGCACCAAACGTGCCTATATGAGTATATTCATGAAAAGATAGACTTCAATATGGAACCACGGCACAAATTCATGAATTGTTAACCCTAAGAGAAACTATTTCCTTTGAGATATTGTACCCTGTTTCTCCAGAAGTTTCACTGTAAATTGAAGGAGTTAAAAAACGGACCTCCAGCTGAATACCTTCATGCAATAGCGTCCTTGTAAATTCTAATCAGCCATGATAAGCTGGCTGAGGGTGATCCACAAAAGAATAATCATACCTGGAGCCTTTTAACCGACTTTTCTATAAAGAGTGTTGCATGACTACCTTGTGCATGTGCGCCCCCAGTAGTGGAGTTTTCTTCAATTATGTATCATAATACAGTATCAACTCTACTACTGAGGACGAAAATGACGTAATAATGAAGTTTTAAAACTTTACATTTTGCATATAAGGTATAATATTAGGTAAACCTATCATATGTGTTGGACGATGAACGTTACTGTTAGGTTTATGGAAATCGTCTTCTTTGGTTTAATTTGTTCATATTTATTCCTCGTTGATACAAATGATCTGTTTTTCCTTCTCAAGAAGCTGTGTTAAGTGCACGTCTTCATGTGCATGGAAATGGTTCCGCTGATTAATGAATGCAATATACAATTCAGTTTCAGGAAAAAAATCTTCTTAATCAATTTTGCTCATTTTTATCGTCTTCTCTAGATGTTCCTACAAGTTTAACTCCCCAGTTTGATTTCATATCGAATTTTAGGAAAACAAGTATGTCATATACTCATATCATATAATTTAATGCATCAGACTAATCAATGCGCAACATTAACTGACAAAAGTCATTCATTACATCCTAAGTAATAGAGTTAATACTGTCGACGTCAATTCCATTCTTCAACACCAACACTTGCCGCCCCGTATCACAGGCTACCACTGCTCCTGCTCTAGCGGCTACGCAGGCCACAACTGTGAGCAGCAGGCCGGACCTCTGGCCTACCCCCTCGGCGGCCTGCCTGTCCTGCTGGCCTTCACCTTCTCCCTCGCTACTGTCTTGGGTCAGCCTTAATATGATTTATGAAACTTTGTATATATGTTAAAATCGTGCAATGTATATGTTTAAATTTGTAAAATAATAATTTTCAGTGAAATCATTTATCGTGGCGGAAAATCATTTACCGGCACAAAAATATACTCTTCATTCATTGCACAAAGAGTAGGGTAACACAGGTTAGGGATGGTGTGTGTAAAAACAAAACGTTGACCGTAGCAGTGTAACTTCTATGGTTAAGGGGGGCGTCTACCCTCCAGAAAAACTTCCACATTTACTAACGGTACTAACGGATCTTTCTGAAACTTCACACATATGTAAACCGAAATACAAGCAGATTTTGTTCGTATAATTTTTCGGAAAAATTAATAGAAAACGTGAAATTCATAGAAAACGGACAAAAAAGGGGGTACTTTAAAAATCTATGTCCTCCTAGTTTTCAAGCTACAGCATTGAAAGATATACCATTCGATTTGTAAAGACCAAACCAATCACTTAACGAAGCCCGATTTTTTATTTTTGCCTTAGTTTTCTTACACGCATTTTCCCGTTTTCTTCTCATTTTCTTCAGATTTTCCCCCTCCCCCCCCATTTAAATCCAAACTATGCACAAATCTAAAAAAGGGCTTAGTTTCTCGATAGGTATGGTCTGTTACGAATCGAATGGTATATGTCCCATCGCTGTAGCTTCAAAACTCTAGGATGAGATAGGTTTGCCGTGACAATAAGTGCGAATGTTCAGGAGAGCGCGACAAAGTCCCGCGCGCATCGCAATAGGCACTCAATGTAGCAAGGATACAAAACTAAACGCTACTGGAGCTTGATTCCAGTCAAGGATGGTGGGAGCGACTGCATGCACACCACCCCGTACGACGCCAGGCGGGTAACTAAGGTGCACCTCAAGCAGACACTCTATTTAAAGTGCTCGCAGCAAATTTCCTCCCATTCTATTTGTTAAAGAACTCCCCCACCCCCTCCATTTCATGATCTGTCGTGAACGCATAAATCAACGTTCAGAGATGGTAATGGTACCGTTGGATGGGGCAGAATATCAGCTTTAAGATGATACTAAAAACCGGAAAAGCCAAATCCGAAAACTTTAGGGTAAAACTTTAATCCAGATCAGCAGGCCTACTTGCATTGCAGGAAAACGAACTTGCTTCCCTCGGAGAAATTCATAGAATTAATGCAATTCCTATAGCGCTTCCTAAATTTCTTTTCCTCGCGAGATACGAGGTTCAAGAGTTATTTTAAAGCTATCGTCAGTTAACACACCCGTTAATTTGTGTACTTATTAACACACTTACACATACACCCTACAAATATCATGAAATAATTGAATCAACAATGCAGTAGTTCAGGCATGTTTCTTCTTTAGTTATTCATTTGCTCAACGACTAACAATTATTTCGTTTCTGTGGCTTATCGTTAATTTTTTAAGGTAGAATTGGCTGTTTCTACAGGTTTGCTGGCGATTGCAGTGTCAACTTATTTTCTAAGGCGCCGGAAACTCGAACTCAAGACAACGTCAGTCGACGGAACAGCAAGTAAACAAAAACAACAGCAAGTCATAACCGCAACAATCATAGACTCCTCCAACCACTCCCAAGTGCCTTCTAAAGAATCTAAGAAAAGTGCTTCCATAGAAGAGCCATCTAGCGATAAGCAACTTTCTAATGAATCGATGAAAAACATGACATTATTTTCAAAATATTCTTCGAAAAATGCAGCGCTTTCCGAAGGACTGCAAAGGAAGAGTTCATCATCCAAAGAATCCTTCTCTTGTGAAGGAATAAATTCAGTAGCCGGCCACGCCATCGAGGTGCGCTACACGGCCAGCGCCGCCACACACACGACTCTCGCGCCCAGCGTCTGCGAGCTGCACGCGCTCCAGCACGACGCCGTGCCTTGCTTAGGGCGCTCCAACCCCGACGCCGTGCCTTGCTTAGGGCGCTCCAACCCCGACGCCGTGCCTTGCTTATGGCGCTCCAACCCCGACGCCGTGCCTTGCTTAGGGCCTGTCTCTTATACACATCTAGATGTGTATAAGAGACAGGTTGTACCCTGCATGACGGCATGTGGCACGACATTGCTGCTAAGAGGTAACTTGCTGAGCATTAGTTGTACCCT